CTCTTGGAGGAGAGACGAAACGTTTCATTAGAGAAGAACCCGTCCAGAAGACCTATACAATTTTTTTCTTTTTTTACCAATGAATACCACTGAGGGGATTAGGAGTACCAGCAATGATATTTCATCACAGTTTAAGGATCATGCCTGTTGACGAATGAGTTTACAGCTGTGAGGATTCCAGCATGTCAGTAAGCTGACAGATGCCTCACAAGGAGTTTTACACAGAAAATGGTTCTGTTTCAATTTATCAACTACTAAGAACAACCAGATGATTTAAAGTTTGCAGATGTTACTGATGTTAATTTTGGCGTTGTGACATCAGTTCACAGAGGAGCAGCAATAACCACAGCAGACAAAACTCTCCCTCCAATTTCCCAGCTAAAGTCACCAGAGAATAGGCGGACTACTGGCTCTACTGATTGTAACAGTGTTACTTCTTCCAAATGCAACACTACCATTTTCAGTGATCCTTTACCTCATGTGCAGAATGTCAGAAAACATCTCAATGAGGAATTGTGAGATGTGTGCATGTGTGTGTCTTTGCATGTGTGGGGGGTATCAGGGGTCTGGGGCAACTGCACAACCGCTTATGCCTCCCAGACTCTCTGTCATGTCAGCAGCTCTCTAAAGCTGGAGTCAAGAGGGGTGCCAGGTTACACAGTCTGGACATCCTGCCATGTGGAGGGTCCTGGACTGGACCTGTTTTATTAGTAACTCCCAGGGGTGGCTGGGGAAGGGGAGTGGAAAGCTAAACAGAAATAAAGTTGGCAGTACGGACGTGGGATGGGGGCGTGCGTGAGCAGGGCAACTATTTTGGCAGTGAGAGTGCTACATGTGTATTTTTTCAGTCAGACTACCACAGCATGCTGATATCACCTCACAGAAACACAAACGGCTGCTTTAACAAGCTGTGATAGAGCAAAAGGCCAGAAGCACAGAGGAGGCAGCGGGAAACGAAGCTGTTAAACTCACTCTCTGATCATCTATATTTCATGCCTGTCTCATTTGGGTTATGAATTTTGTATAACAAGCTGGGAAGCTGAACCGAGTACATATGCAAGTACAAACAGTGAGTATAAAAGCTGTTATGTTCTGGGGCACCGAATTGGTGGTTAACTAAGAGACAAACCCATGACTCAAGACAAGTACATCCTCTGAGGTTGTTATCCTCTGTGAAATGAGAGCAATTTTATGTAATTGGACTTTGTAAGTTCAGGATTGCCTTCCAGCCTTTCTGTGTGGAGTTTGCATGTTCTCCTTGTAAACACATGGGTTTTCTCCCGGAAATTCAGCCCCCTCCCACAGACCAAAAAYACGCATGCTAAGTTATTGCTAACTCTAAATTGTCCCTAGGTGTGAGTGATGATAGTTTATGTTGTTTGTTTCTATGTGGCCCTGTGATAGACTTGCAACCAGTCCAGGGTGTATCCTGCCAAAGCACACAATGACCACAGAAGATTGACACCAGCTCCCCTGTGACATTGTAAGCCACAGAATGCTTTGAGTTTTCCTGACAAATTCAGAAACCATAGAAAATCAACTGACAGACCAAAAAGAACGAGCACTTACTTACCCATGTTGACAGAATGACAGAATGAAAGAACCAAAGACAGGAGAAGAATGTACAAGTGACAAAAAAGAGCAGCAAAGGAAAGAAACTTGCTCTGCCCTGCCTCCTACCTTCACTATTATCCATCTGTGCTCCATTCATACTCTGTCTGGTAGAAGGAATGTTCTTTGTCTCCTCTTTCTCAGGTCATAAAGGAGACATTTACTAACTGAGAGCTGCAGCAAACATATTCTTCCACCCACAGTGGCTCTTGTTACAGCTGTTCCTGTAATGGCTTCTAAATGCATCTGTGTCTCGCTCTCAGTGCTCGCTTCTCATTGCAACAACATGCAAAACATTTTGCTGCCTTCAACATTCTCCTTCGGCTTTAATATTTGGTCACCTTCCTCTAAAGCCAGGCCTCCCCACCACCACCATCTCAATGCTGCACAAGAAGATGTAGCTGTGAGATCAGTGGTGGCAGGGTGTCCCATTTCCAGCTCTACTTTTGAGAACAAGACTTTATATATCCCTACGTGTGGGAGGTCAGGCTGAAGGGAACGTAACAGGAGAAGAGCTGGGTCAGGAACTTGATGATGGGCATGCTGGCACAGATGACCAGCACAACGATTGGGTGGAAAAGCTTGCCAGACTTCTTCAGCCAGGGGTCTGTGCAGGGTAAGTCTCAGGGGGACACTTTGAGCTGGCGGCTGACAGATTCTCTGCAGGTTTGGCTGTCAAACCCCAGGCTCACCCAGGCTTAGAAATAACAGCAGCGTGTAATGCGTAAGATCTATCCAGTCCGCAGCAATTGGTAAGCACACATACTGTCACATTGGTGTGAAGCTACACTGAAAGACAACGCAGCTGTGGGCCAAACCAGACCATTTGACCCAAAACGTCACAAGTACATGAGCCAGGGGATGAGTCTTCTGACAGGGTCTTAAATCTTTGTTGTGAGGAATAAAATTTTTTTATTTTTTTTTAAAAAATAGGCACAGATTGTTTCTGTGCCTATTTTTGTCCCTAAGGATACACCTGGAGTCAAAGCTGCTGAAAGATCTGACTTTAGCCCCCTATCCATTGTCAAGCCTCACTCCATTCGGTTCTGGTATGTTTGGTTTTGCTCAGTGTGTGAGTCTCCGTTTCAGTGTGTCTCTGTGGGAGTGTTTGTGGGTGGATTGTCAGCAGTGGCTTCAGCTGTTGTGGTAAAAACCTAAAAGAAATAAATTTGTTGTGGTTTTATTATCCGGTAAACGGATCTAATAAAAAATGTTTTTATTGTTTTTTGTTTTGTTTTGTTACTGTTTGTGTAAGCGTAAAGCCAAATTCACACTTCCCCTGAACTGCCGAAGTTGGCACAGATTGTCGCAGCTTCATGATGAAAACTACGTCACCGGTGTTCGCAGCGTCGACTTGGCCGCCCCTTTTGGCACAACTCGCTGGCAGAACATTTTACCCCCCTCCATCTACGACGGTAATGTGTAATTGGTCTGAAGTTCGTGGGAGTGTGTGTTTGTACTGAAAGCGCTTGGACGCTGCATGTTACTTCAACCACTTGGCTAAAAATAAATAACTAAAATGAAAGACTTGCTTCCAGAGACGACACCAGGCAGCAGACTTTTATAAAGATAGTCAAACAGTGAAAAATTCATGAATGGAGATAAAACATGTTGTGCACGGAGGAATCTCTGATAAAAACTGTGGAGCTTTAACCGGGACAGATTTGTGGATAAATAACATCAGGTGAAGAGTCTAGGACTTTTTTTTCTGCATCATAAACTCCAGCGGTAAGAAACTCCATGCAGTGACGTATGCTGCAGTGGGAGGGGTTTCCCAGGAGCTCGGCACGTTATGTCAAATAACATACACTAATAATAGCCTTTATGCTGTGATAAAGTTCAATAAACAGATGAAACGAGGTTGCCATAGCCTGTGTCACTGTCACGGGCCACCTTAAAGGCACAGTGTGTAGTGTTTTGTCAATTCTTTTAGCCGAAATTGAGATAATCACTAATGACAATAATAAAAAAACATGTCTAATCATTGCAGACAAAGACCTTGTTTTATTATATTTACCTTTATAAAAAGCTGTTTATATCTCCATGGTCGGAGTTTCGCCACTACAGGCAGCCGCCATCTTGCACTGCCATCTTGTCTACGAAGGCTCATGAAGGACAAACTGCGGTGGCGGCATCAAAAACGGTTTTAGTTGTAATACTATAAATGTAATATTTGTTGTCTGTCTCTGTAGCTGGGATAATTTTACTTATTAAAAGTCATAATCTTACCACTTGAAACACCACTAGCCCTGAAGCTGCTGGTAGACATCGCAGTTGGAACTATCAAAGGTTTTTGACACCTGAGAGACACCGTAGCAACTCCTTTGCTTTTGGAAGCGGGGGATGGGGGTGGGGGAGGACCAGGGAGGATGATTCAACCACTCAACCACTAGATGTCGCTGAAAACAACAAATCCTACACACTGTGCCTTTAAGGGGGTTGCGTGAGTATCCCCCTCATTTTAATGCATTCAGTATTTCATATGGCCAATGCATTTGGCCCCTTCAGTACCATCCCTCGGGGACACCTTTCAGGTCAGGGTGTCAGACGAATGCATACCTACCTTCCATATTGACGGTAGGCCTGTCACGATAACAAATTTTGCTGGGCGATTAATTGTCTCACAAATTATGGTGATAAGCGATAATATTGCCTGGTGACCATTTTACAACTAATATTTATAAAAGCGTAATATGTAAGTGTAATAAATCAATAAAATTCAATTTTTAAAGAATGTTTAACAAAGTGGACTCTCAGTCTCTAACAAAAATGCACTTGAATTAAAAAAAAACAAAGAACAACAAAATGTAAATTAAACACCACACACAACTAAGACTGTAAATAAACAAAATTAAAGAGCAGCATCTCTTTAGAGATGAAGCAAACTACACAGCCTCGTGAGGACCCACTGTTTTTTATGGGTATATAAGCCCAGTTCACATCCTATGTAAAGTTTAGGCTTGGTTTAGGGTCAAATGGTAATAGAAAATATTGGTAAATGAATGAAAGTCAGTGCAAAGTCCCCATGAGGATAGAAGAACAAACGTGTCTATGTGTGTGTGTGTGTGAGGAGGGGACAGTCAGAGGAGACAAGCGCTGCAGGGGAGGAAATCAGACAGTTCGGAGTTTTCCTCATGAGTTGCTGGGACAGCTACAGTTTTTTTGGGGGTGTTTTGTTAAAACACAGATGGTGCATTTAAGTTTCCTGTTAGTTTTGGGAGCTACAGGC